ACACCAGATTTTCAGCCAGTAAGTGAAAACAGATACACTAGCATGTGAGTTCTATGGGCAACAGACCCATCTGGGTGCTTTACATGGATAGGAATTAATTACTTGCTTCCTTTTTTCCTCTTGGAGTCAGAGATGGAAAGCGCATGCTAAACCAAAATATCAGCAGGACAATCCATTGCAGACACACCGAGGGAGGCCATCCATGGGATCCTGCTGAGGGACAGGAAGAAATCACCTCCTCCTGCCTCTCCCAGGAGTCTTGGAGAGACTGCATTCTCTTACCTCTTCAGCCCTGGACAGTGTTTGAGTGACCATTGGGCACTGCTGGGAGTTGACTATATCACAAGCAACCTTTCTATAAATTGCCACTTAGTTCTAAAGACTGTAAAAAAGCACATGAAGGACCCTTTGTCCTTGGCTATGCTGGGAGGGGCTGGAGTTTCGGGAAAGAAGAGAGCTGGTATCATGCATTTGTGTAGGGAAATGGTGGCTAGGCTACAGAGCCCTAACACAGATCCAAGAGAACCTGCCACATGTCTGGTCCACTCTGTTAGTGACTTCTTTGGGAAGGCTGAGGAGGGATTGAGTTCTAAAGGTTGGAATCACTGGCTTTTAAGAGTCCTCCTTCCAGAAGAAAGCCTGGTATTGCCCTAAGTGCTTCTCTGGAGAGCCCTAGAGGAACTCTCATGATGCATATATTATAGCTGTAGAAACTCCAGGAGTTCTGAAAAGTGGCTGTAGCCAGATAGCATTCTTCCCCAAAGCATCTTTAACATGTGTCACCATAAGAGAGAAAGTATAGTATTTCTTGTCCGTTGAGGAAGGCATCAGTATAAAAGGAAGTTCCCGCCTTTGTAACACACCATCTCCCCACTCCCCCTTCACTCACGGCTACCATTAGACAGAAGAGGAGTGAACATACATATAGCTCTATGTGTTAACTCACTGAATTCTCAGAACAACCCCATGAGGTAGGTGTTATTATTTCCTGCATGTTACACAGGAAGAAACAGAGACCTAGAGGTTACCCAGCTTATCCAGGATTGCGTGTCTTGTAAATGGTAGGGCCAGAATTCAATCTTGCACAGTCTGGCTCCAGAGTCTGGGTTTTATTCACTACCTGTCCTGACTGCCTGGCTCTGGTGTCCCTGTGAATCTGGCTTCAGACTCTGGGAAAGCAATTGCATTCTTCCTAGAACGTCATTTCTTCCAGTATGTATAGAGTGAAGTATCAATGAGCTAACAGATTATTTTGAAGGATAAGAGGAACGTTTGGCATGCAAGGGGGGTTTAATGCCACTTCACAGCTCCATGGATAGCCCCACTACTATCGTGCAAAGGACCTACACACACCAGGATTGTGGTCAGTTGATGACCAGCCCTTTGCATCTCTCCCTCCGTCAAAGAGCATCAGGGATACTGATTGACGGTCAGTCTGATGCACAGTCCAAACATCAAGGGAGCTAATTCTAATTTTGCTGCCATCTAATTTTCAATTTCATCAGCAGAGCTTGACCTGTCTTCAACATTTGGGGCATAGACTATATATAACCACCAATCTACTTCCAAAGTGGTTGTATTCACCGGAAGGAACTGGCCAACTCACAGTCAACAGAGACATGTATAAATCAATACAAATGCCTATAAATACAGCAGAGTCACAATAAATGGTGATGGGTATAAATAAATAATGTTCAAGAGTACTCTAAGAGGGTGTGTAGGTTGAGAGTTTGCTGGCATTGGGGAGAAGGCGTGGGATTAATTAGGGAATTTATTGGAGTAAATAAAGATGTGAAGATGAAAAGGAGAGGAAGATGCAGTACAGCTGCCATTTGAATGAAGGAGAGTGTGGCATGCCTATGGCAAAGCTTGATGAATGAGCACCAGACAAATTGAAGCCATCACCAATGATTTGAGCGAGGCACTTAACCTCCCTGGGTCTCAGTTCTTCCATCTGTCAGTATGGAAAATTGGGTATTGAAATCAAGAGAACATAGTGAAGCACTTTTAGTTCTTCAAAAGAAAGGCATCACCATCATACCTCCTTTGAGCTAAGGAAAATCAATTATTTGGAAGAAATGCCTATGGCATATGACACCTGACTTGCCCCAGGTGCCAGTAACTCATGTCTTTTGGGAAGAAAGTGATCTAAACCATCCACATAGAAAAAAATTGTGGGTACTCAGAATCTTGCAAGAAACATACTTCTCTTTGGCATCATAGAAACAGCATGGATTTAGCCTAAGCCAAGGCTGTATAAGCCCGGACCCAAATCTCAAATGACTGCCCATTCCTTGCTCTTCTGGTTGGCGTCAGTCAATCACAAGTAGAATCAGATGTTGCCTTGCCAACGTGATTGGTGTGTTTCTGGGGGAGCTTTGTTCATGTCTTGGTTTTTGTTTGTGTGATGTTCTCTGTTTTATAACTTTGGTCTCTAGGAATTTTTCCCACAGCTGTGCATCATTCCTTATCACCTATAACCAAATATGGCAGCTTTAAATAGTGCTGTCATTTTCCTCAATTTCACCTGTTGTGATATAATCAGGTATAGATTTCTGACACTGAGCATCTAATGGGGTTTCAGAGTCAGAAAGCAACAGTAATAGATTTTTCAGTTGAGAGACAGATTGAAACAGTCATAAGTGACAGGGCACGTGGAATTCATGCACATTTACTCAGAGAAGCTCTGGGGTCAAAAAAGACCCCAGGAGTGGACCACGCTAGTGATTTCTATTGCAGTAGGTGTATAGGCATGATCGGCTCCTTTACTGATTCCGTACTCTGTATATGGATCCTGCCCTCTCTGTGTCTTCCTGTGTCTGCCTCTGGCTCTTAGGATGATGAAGGAAACACAGTCAAGCCGTGATGGACACAGGAATGATTAACTGGGGACTTGGATTCTGCTGCTCTGGAGTCCTTTGCCTTCTGTTAGAGGATTTATGTAATGACGGGATGAGACAAGCTTAAATGATCTCCTCATTCTTCTCCTGCTCCCTTCCCTAAGTTACTGGGTTTTGTCCCCCATTTGTTTCATTTTTCCAATAATACCTGAGTGTTGTCTGCAGACTGAGCATGGATCCACAGTGGGTCAAAGAACTTGCAATTGGTATCAAAGGGCAGTTCTGTGGTCTGAGCCCATACTGTGAAAGAAAAACAGTTTCAGATAGACCATATGAGAGGTCATTGTCATGCTGCTGAAAGGCCACAGTGCCCAAGAACAGCTGCCGTTTTTGGCAGAGGATGAGTCTTCGCATCCTCTCCGTGTACCCTCCGGCTCTTGTCTCAAAGAGGAAAGTAAAACTGCACCACAGGTAGAAGGAAACACAGTGTGCCCACTGGCTCCCTAAGAAGGAAGGGAAAAGCGTCCAGAAGAGGAGCTGGAAATCACCCATGATGGGGGCTGTGCAGATACAACAGGAGCGTGCAGAACTGCCTGCTCCCACCTGCCTCAGATGCAGCCGTGGAAACAGCTGTTGTTACTTGGAGTTTCTCAGCTTCTTCCAGCTTCCCCTGAATAATGAACGCTCAGAGGGCTGGTCGAGTTTAGCTCGGTATTGACACAGGGAGTTCCCTTTTGTGTTTCTGGGAACCCCAGTGTAAAAATGACATACCTTGATAGTGACAGTAGGTTGCGCCATGGCCAATATGATCTTGAGCTTAAACGCTGACCTGTTCATAGAACCCTGAGCTTAGTACTGATTTTCAGTCCTATCCATGGACTTCCTGGATTTCTGGCCTTATAGAATCATAGCGTTTTCCATTTACAGTAGTCCTTAGAGCGCATCTAAGTCCAGTGGTTTTATAGTAAATGAAAGAAACCAGCCTGGGACAAGACAGGGTAGCAGCACGGAGCTGCAGAGAACGTGCCCTGTCTCCAGTGGGCAGCCCACACTCAGCTTCAGCCAATTGGGAACTTGGACTCAGTGGTGTCAAGATCGCCCCATTTTTTAAAAAGCCAGAAATCTAGATTTGTATGTGAAGTTACCTAATAATTTAACGCTGGCAACTAATACAAACGAGGTAGATGCTACAGGGTAAACCAAGTCTGTGGGCTGTATGCGTCCATAGGCCACTGGTCACCTCGGATCGTGGTCACCTCGGATCTAGTCCCACTCCAACTGAGGCCAGAGAGGGGTGGGGACTTGCCTGAGAGCACACGGCTAAAGACGTGGAGCAGATGACTTAACTCCATCCTTCTCATTCCCTTTTGTTTTCCCGTGAAGAATGGTGGCGAGCTTGGCGCCCAGGATTCCGTTCCTGGCTCCATCATCTGGCTCACAGGACTCTGGCCAGACTCATCCCTGGCCTTGCAACGTGTTTTCCCACAGTGCAGTGGTGTGAGCCCTGGGCTTTGAGTCAGGAAACATGGGCTTGTTTGGGTCCCGGCTCTTCCACTTACATGCTGTGGAACCTCGGGCACATCTCTGACTGCCCTCGGCTTTGGCTTCTTCACTTATAAAATGAGAATAATAACTTATGCCTCCCAGGACTGTTTTGAGGTTGACAGGGGAAGGTCTCACTGTGTGAGATCACCCTGCAAACAAAACCCAGAGATTCCGGTTGTATTAGCATCCTTGTGAAAAAGATGTGAGTGTCTAAGAGGGATGCTGTGGTCGAATCCAGCAGTGCAGACAGCAGCAGCTCAAAGGTGCTCCCTGAGTCCATCCTCGACTCCCCATGGAGGACACAGGGTGGTACTTCGGGGCACTGAGGGTTGTTCCTCTTTGCCAGCACAAAGCCTGCCTCATCCCAGGAAGTGGCATGGCCCCTGCTGCTGTTCTGTGTCACCTGCTGAGGTCAGGGCTGGGTGGTGGTGTTTGCCCAGCCTGGCTACACCCTCATTCCCAGTGTCATTTAAGCCAGTCACCCAGAACCCAGAGAAATGGGAACTGGGGCCAGACCCATACTCACTACCTCCTCTGCCCTGCCCTGCCCTGCCTGCCCCAAGGTCATTTTGACTGAATGTGTGCGGTGAATCTTGTTTTTCTCTCCATTTCCAGGGACGCAAACCCGGCTATTTCTCCTTCCTGGACCCATTTTCTCCGGGCGTCTGGCTCTTCATGCTTCTAGCCTATCTGGCTGTCAGCTGTGTCCTCTTCCTGGTGGCTCGGTACGCTCCTCTTCCCTTCCCTGTCCTCACACCGCCACCTCGTGTCCACCTCTGGGAACTGCATGGGGAGGGGGTAGGGAGGAGGAGAGGAGTGGGTTGGGAAGATCTTGGTGCCAAACTAGAGGGACAGGAGAAGGACTGGGGACCTGAAATGCTCTCTGCCCCGCTGTCGACCTCATGCTGCCCATCCAAACGTTCCCCACTGTGCACGACGCAGACAGGTGGCTTGGCTTCTGCACCTCTGCCTCCTGTCCCTCCCACTTCCCCCCAGAGCCCCACCCAAGCCCCCTGCTTGTGTAGGAGCCCTGGGAACAGAGGAGGGGTGAGGGTGGCAGGAAGATGACTCCCATTAAGCACTATGCATTTGGCTGCCCTGGCATCAGTCATTGCCACAAAGGATCTGCCACAAAGTGCTGAATGACAAGAAACAGAGCCTGCGAATCTGGACTGGGGGCACTGGGGGCTGCAGTGGAGCAGGCCAGGAAGAAGGCCTCCTATGCAGACAGCCTGGGTCTGCCTGTGAAAACACAGCCGCCCTGTCGAATGCAAACCATGGAGGCTGGTGACGGGAGGCATGGAGACGGGATGGAGAGAGGCGTTTTCAAGAAGTACTGAGTTGAGACACACGGGCCAGACCTGGGAGTGGGGAGAATAAGCCCTGCCCGATCCCCAGGAAGCCAGGGGCTGCCCTGACCCTATGGAAAAACCCGAGGAGCAGCCTGAGGCTGTGGCCTCCCAAGAATGTGCACAGAAAAGGTAGTTTTGCTCGAGGCCACAGGCTATTGGACCAGCCTGAGCTGCAGGAGAGCCAGCTTAACCCTCCAGAAGTGGAATGAGCCCTGGTGGCTCCCAGGCCACTCACTCAGGTCCCTGGTGCTGCTAGCCCTCCACTTACTGCGGTGGAGGCTCACAAAGGGCTGTTATGTGGGAGCCGAGAGCTACTCAGGAGGAGCTTCTGGGAATCTGTCCGTGGCTGTGTTTGCAGGTGTCTCCTCAGTTGTTACCTTTGCCTCCAGGCCACAGCGGCAGGGCAGACCGTTTTAGAGTGCACATCCCATCTCTGTGGCGTGGGTGGGGTCTTCCCCTAGGGCATGTTCATTCACTGGACTGAGGGGGGCACGCGGGGATGGAGCTGCTGCATGGTGAGCTCTAGGGAACCACCGGCTACCTAACCCCTGGGGGCACTTCCCAGCCTGCCAGAGAAGGGTTGCATCAACCTGTCTGCACATACCTCTTCCAGTGGAGACCAAGCTCCCCAAGATCAGGAAGGTCTTTGGGGCCAAGATGCAGCCAAAAAAGACAGGCCTTGCTGACAACCTGGTCATTTTCAAACATGGCAGAGTTTGCTGCTCAGGTGCCACCAAGCCCTCCCGGGCCTGTAGGCATGGCCACTGTTGAGTATCTGCTGTCAGTGACGGCCTGTGAGACGGGGAGCTAGCACGCTGTCTGACACCTTACCTCTCCACTTTGCCACACTGCTGCCGCGTTAGAAGGCTGTCTACGTGAGCCCTGGCGCCACTGCTCTGTAATTCACACTTGCCCCTTGGATGTGAGCCCTTGTGTGTGGCATGCCACAACACCCAGGTCACCTCAAGGGCCCTGAAAAGTCTTGGGGCTTGGTGAGCAGATATATACACGCCTGCTTCAACACACCTGCAGCAGCCTGGAGCTTTCAACCAGCCCTGGGGTATTACACTGCCCCTCTTCCCTCCCCTCCACATCCAAACACACTCCCTCCAGCATCTAGCATCATAGAAAGGTTAACAGAAAATGTGCTAAAGGGCTAACCATACGGCCTCTCTCTCCTCACTACGCGCACACACAACACACACATACACACACACACACACACACACACACACACACAAAATACTGGAGTCTAAGGTATTCTGTATTAAGGTAGTGATTTTCAAACATGGTTCTATGGACTGCAAAGGCTCCTGGGAGCAACCAGAGCCTTTAGGGGTGAAATGACAAGAGGCTGGGCAGCCAGAGCCCTGGGTCCCCAACTCCTCCTCATCCAGACCAGCTCTACTTTTATTTCTTATATATTGTACTTCTGGGTAAGATTTTACAGGGAAAAAAAATATCTGAAAACGACAGCTCTTTGGTAGCCATTCCCAAGCAAGCTGACTTCAGAGTCCCGTAGGGAGCTTTTAGACATTTGAATTCCCCGGTCCCATGACCTCAGAATCTCTAGGGGAAGGGCCTGAGAATCTGTATCTTTGAAGTTCTGCAGATCCCACCAATGGTCCATAGGCTTGGGAGCCAACAAAGTGGGGCACCAGAGTGCCAGCCAGCTCCTCGGGACCCGCACAGAGGGACAGAGCACATCTCACCGGTCAAGGGGCCAACGCTGACACGTTTGTGTTGTACTCAGGGCAGAGGGGAGGCGCAGATGGAAATGGGAGGCAGCGACAGTGGGAACACTAAGTGCACATCAGGCCAGGTGCAGGAAAGAGCAGTGTGAAGATAACACCGAGCACACAGCACCCCACCCGCCTGGGCGGTGCACACCTGTGCATACTGTTTCTCTCGTCAGAGCTGGAAGACTTTGAGTACAAAATGGGCTGGGGCTGCAAGCATGTCCCTGGCGGGTGGGGGAAGAGCGGGCATTCTGGGCATCAGAGGGGCCATTCAGAGAGACACCAGTGGTGAGGCTGAGAGGAAAAGCAGGGCAGTGTCCCCACCTCACCCCAAGGCCCAGAGCTTAGAGCAGCCCTTCTCAGCCCCATGCGTGCATTACACTCACTGGGGAGCTTTAAACAAACACTGATGCCCAGGCCCCACCTGAGCCAATGAAACCAGAATATATGGGAATGGAACTCAAGCAGCAGCAATCTTTTTTTTAAAAGCCTCTGGGGAGGTCTGAAACACAGACAGGGGATAGCCTGGCTTTAGACACCAATCAGGCCAGTGGCTGTCAGTGTGGACACTGGCCTGGTGGTGTCAGCATCATCTGGGAACTTGGGAATTCTTAGGCTTCACCCCAGACTTACCGACGCAGAAGTTTTGGGGCTGGGCCCAGCCATCTGTGTCAGCACACCGGCTTGGTGGTTCTGAGGTAGGCTAAGGCTAGAGGACCACTCCTCTAGGCTAGGGGTCTTCAAACCGTAGTTCTCATCACCCTGTCAGTGGCAGTGACAGAACAAGCAGCTTCCCAGGCTGTCCACCTCTTGACACTCCTAGCCTCAGGTGCTCCACTTTCATCTTTTTTTTTTTTTTTTTTTTTTTTTTTTGAGACAGGGTCTCACTCTGTTTGTCCAGGCTGGAGTACAGTGGTGCGATCTTGGCTCACTGCAGCCTTGACCTCCCGGGCTCAAGTGATTCACCCATCTCAACCTCTTGAGTAGCTAGGATTACAGGCACGCACCACTACACCTGGCTAAATTTTTTGTATTTTTTAGTAGAGACGGGTTTTCGCTGTGTTGCCCAGGCTGGTCTTGAACCCCTGGACTCAAGCAATACGCATACCTCGGCCTCCCAAAGTGCTGGGATTACAGGCATGAGTCACCGCACCCGGCCATCCTCTATTTTGTATTTTGGAGTTCCACATCAGAATTTATTGAGGGTAAAAATGTCTCTTTGATTAAAAAAAGTTTGAGAACCATCAACCCAGTTCAACCCGCTTCATTTTTTTTTGGTTGCAAAACTCCAAGTCCAGCAAAGGGAAGTGTCTTGCCCAAGGCCACAGGCCAGTCTCAGAGATGAGACCAGCCAGAAGAGCCTGCCTATGTCCCTTCACACCCCGCCTCCGTGGCACTAGTGTATGTTCCTTTTCTCCCACAGGTTGACGCCCTACGAGTGGTACAGCCCACACCCATGTGCCCAGGGCCGGTGCAACCTCCTGGTGAACCAGTACTCCCTGGGCAACAGCCTCTGGTTTCCGGTCGGGGGGTTCATGCAGCAGGGCTCCACCATCGCCCCTCGCGCCTTATCCACCCGCTGTGTCAGTGGCGTCTGGTAAGGCCCCAGGCAGAGGTGAACCAGGCCAAGTGGGGTGGGGACACAAAAGGGGCCCTCTGATAAGCCGGCTCTAGCTGCTAGAGCCCCAGAGCCTCTGCCTCTTACAGCAGACCCACGCAAGGAGCCGAGTGCTTTCTGCCAACTCAGAAGCTTGGGGCAATGGATGGGGCCTGCTCTGTGCCATTTGGTCCCCTTTCCCTTACTCACTCTCTGGGGTCTGGATGCAGAGGGGAACAAAGGGAGGAAGGGAGAGGAGGTGACCAAACAGCCTTGCTGAATTTCAGCAAAGCAATGGTAACTTCCTGACCTGAAAATGACCTGAGGTTTGAGAAGGCATATTCAGATTTATGCAAATATGAGCCTGCTGGCAGGAAGTCCCTGCAGGAGGAAGCCAGCCTGGCTGCCACATCACGCCCCCTCTACCAGCCTTCTGAGGCTTTGGGTCTCTGCCCCTGGCTCTGGGGGCTTGCTGGCCTGTTCATCTCAGCAGGTGTGGGAAAATGCAAACTCTTGTCGTTCAGAGTTGAGCAAATGATTCAATGTGTGGGAAAGCTCTTTGAAAACTTGAAAGTGCTACATAAACATATGGACTGGTCATTGTTATTAGACCACTATGGGGGCAAAGGAAAAACAAGATGAAACGTGTGTGTGTGTGTGTGTGTGTGTGTGTGTGTATAGCCTGGAGAGGCATGTTTGCAGAACACAAACATGCCTCTTTTGATCCTTTTTTGATCCTTTTTTGATCCTTTCTTAAAGATCTGCTGTGGGTTTGGCTGCCATAGCGTACAGGACTTATGACCTTGGTTCTCTCCCTTCCTTCTCACTCTGTTTAGCCAAAGGAAAAGGACAGGTGATGTTTCCACCCTTGAGTACTGGTGCCCAGAGTGGGTGGTCTGGACAGAATTACTGGAGGAGCCACTGGGCTGTTAGGAAGGTGAAAATGCAGCGAGACAGCCACGCCTTCCTGTCTGGGGTTTCCATTTTCCCTAATAAACAACAAATGTAGCAGGATTTAAACTTGGACGAGATGCTCGCCTGTTACCAGATAGTTCGGAGATGTCACTGAGTAGATCACCATGGAGAATAGGAGCTCAGGTCCCCAGGAAGAAGGATGGACAGTCCCAGCAAGGAGAGTCACGGAAGTCCCACAACATCTGGGAACCTGGGCAGAAGCCCTGGGAGAGGAGCGTGCCAGGATGTTCATCTTCTCCCTGGGGCTTTTCCTTCCGGGGGTGCCTGTTCACACGGATGGATGCAGCTAGGGCCCCACTGCCCACTTCATCCGCTTGTCAGCTCCACCCTTACCCCAGGAAATCCCTCCTCCAGGACCCAGCCGTCCTGCAGGTTGCCCTGCCCTGAGGGGAGGACTCAGCACTGCTTTAAATAGCTGGCGGCAGGTGGCTTGGTCACTCTGTTCCAGAGCGTGTGTGGGAAGGGGCTCAGTGCATATGCGAAGCCGCTGTGACAGGCCTGTGCCAGCCCCGACTCCAGGTGGTCAGTGTGCTTCTCTTCCAGCACACTAACAGTTCCTAGTTCTTAAATCAGGGCCTCAGTTTGGTCCGTTCTGTGGAGGAGTGGGAGGTCAGAAGACGGGGCCATTGTGGCCTACCTTGACCTCCTCACCCAGAGCATGAGATAGAAAACACCATGTCGCTGGAGAGAATGCCAGTTTGACAACTGAAAATGCCCTTTGATACAGGAGCGAGGCTGCACTGACCCCTCCGGAAGCGGGCATCATTCCCTTTCTCAGCAGAGCCGATGGCCTTGCACTGAGCCGCTTGTGCCCTCTGACCAGTTTCCTTGTGACCAGTGGCCTAAATAGCCAGCTGGGGTGTAGCCAGAGTGTAGCCAATTCTGAGTCATGTCCATACCTAGGGCTCATTAACCCCCAGCACACTCCACCACAGCTAAGCAGCTGCAGAGCGCTGGCTTCCTCCTGGGGACCGCCCTGCCCCAGGCCTTTTCTTAGGGATGGTCATGAGAAGCACCTTCCAATAGGGCAGAAGAGCTGAAGCAGGAGCAGGGAAAGCAGACCTTGGGCATGGAGGGACACCTGCTACTTACAGGTCACAGATAGAGAAGGCAGAAGGAGGTAGCCAGGTGATTTTCATCCCATTTTCAGTCTGATGGTCTCTCTAGACATTTCTCTATATCTCACATCCCTCTAGTCCTTTACAGATTGCTGATCACTCATGACATATTACTTCATTTTATCTCACAACTCTCCAGCAACAGGCAGAGCAGGCATGATCATCCCCATATATTTATTAGACAAGTAAATGAGCTTAGAGTAGGTGAGTGGTTTTCCCCACGGTCTCACAGTGGAACACAGCCAGAACCAAAACCCAGTTCACTTGCTGGTGGTCTGCCATGTAGACGTGCCCATCGGGTCAGAGGAGGCCCCTGTTGCTTCACTCCTGGGGAGGCAGCCAGCAAGAGCTCTTGGTCACAGTGGCAAAAAGGGCAATGGGACCTGCTGCTCTTGAAAATCGACCCAGCAGCAGCAGGTTGCCGAGTTCTGTGTGTTAATCACTATGCATTCATCATTAGTGTGTCTATAATGGATAAAGCCTTATGAACTCAGGCTCCACTGATTCAGAATTTGTGATTCTCCATCCCAAACTGTGCTACGATCTCTCTCTGAGCCCCTTGGGATTGGGATGTAGCTCCATACTGTTGACCAGATGGGAGAAGGCTTGTTTAACCTACTAAAATGAACACACAGGTTTTAAGGGATTTAGGATATATGCTGCCTGAGCTGCAAAATTATTCTAATTTTAAATGAGTTCTGTCTACTCAATAAAACAATCTTCTGATTTGAAATGGCATGACAATTGTAAGAATATTTTCTAATTCCAGCCTTTCAGCAGTTCAAAGGTGCTTTTCACTAGGTCGTCTTTACTAAAGATTTTCTGTTACAATTTATAGAACTGATTTTAAAATACGAATTTATCAGATGGCACAGGGGCTCACACCTATAGTCCCAGTACTTTGGGAGACTGAGGCAGGAAGAACTCTTGAGCCTGGGAGTTCTAGGTTGCATTGAGCCCTGACTAAGCCACTGCATTCCAGCCTGGACGACAGAGCAGGACCCTGTCTCCAAAAAAAAAGAATTTATCGGCCAGGTGCGGTGGCTTACGCCTGTAATCCCAGCACTTTGGGAGGCCAAGGCAGGTGGATCACAAGGTGAAGAGATGGAGACCATCCTGGCCAACACGGTGAAACCCCATCTCTACTAAAAATACAAAAATTTGCTGGGCAGGGTGGAATGTGCCTATAGTTTCAGCTCCTCAGGAGGCTGAGGCAAGAGAATCACTTGAATCCAGAGGTGGAGGTTGCAGTGAGCCAAGATCGCGCCACTGTACTCCAGCCTGGCAACAGAGTGAGACTCCGTCTCAAAAAAAAAAAAAAAAAAAAAAAAAAGAAGAATATATCAAGGTGTTACTTGGCAGGTTGCTTCACTTCTCTGAGCCTCAATTTCCCCACCTGTAAAATTGGGATAAGAATTTTGCCTTCCTGAGCTGTAGGGATTAAGTGAGATAGTGGATGTAGCTCGTGGTAGATGATCAGTGCCTGGCAATGCACATTTGAAGGTTGGCTTCAACACGAGGAGGCGAGGAAGCCCTCCTGCTCTAGCTCTGAACAGAGCCCTTGGAGCTGGCACGCGCAGCTCATTCACTGGCTCATTTCTCACAGTGTCCAAAACTGTCTCATGTGCATGGACTATACCTCTTTTGAATAATAACCCAATAATCATCTCCTTTAGGAAATAAGAAAAACAAATCAGCTGTCTTCTTCCAGGCAGTGCTCACCAACTGGATTCATTTCTGTTGACATCATATGCCCTGCCTCCTTTCTCTTCCCCCACTAAGCTGAAAGCTCTTTTAGAAGAAAGATGCCTGGTCTCTCCCATGTCACAGCAGGACTGGGGTTGGGGGCCAAGACTCCAGGGAGTGCCCGGGCAATGATGACTTCCTTGTCTTTTCCTACATAGGTGGGCATTCACGCTGATCATCATCTCATCCTACACGGCCAACCTGGCAGCCTTCCTGACCGTGCAGCGCATGGATGTGCCCATTGAGTCAGTGGATGACCTGGCTGACCAGACCGCCATTGAGTATGGCACAATTCACGGAGGCTCCAGCATGACCTTCTTCCAAGTAAACCCCATTTGGTTGCTCACCAACATCGGGAACTGGGCAGAATAAAGTTGAGATGTTTGTCTGCTGGAGATAAAAACATCTCTCGTCATCTCATTATCTCTTTTGAACATATAGTTTGGAAGTCCACATGGGGTTCATTTATCTGTTGCTCCACAAAATACACCTGGAATGAGGTCCCAAAAGAACTTTGTGTTAATATCAGCCGGTGCCAGAGTGGTGATACTTGAGGTGATTTTAGGTCTAATGTGGTGGAACTATTTTTTCGTTGCCATAGTTTCATATTTATATTAATGGCCATTAGAAAAAAAGTATATATATGCAGTGAATCAAACTTGTAGTTTTATTTGTATTACTGCATAGAATGGGGTTAACGTATACATTTACATTTTAACAAGTGATTTAAATCGTATAGGTAGTATTTAGAGCAAGATTCATACACGAGTGACTGAAGTTTGAGGAACACCAGCTTAAGACAAACTGGCTTCATTGATTCCAGACTTGATAGGTATCAGATAGGGACCTGTTGTCTTCTTTGAGTTTCCCTTGCAAGGCTCAGGAGAAAGCCCTGCCACAGCGATGTGTTTGCTGTCAGCAAACTGATTGATCGCCAAGACTGACAGCCAGACCAGATGGAATAGTGGTTTTCATGTGAATCAAGCTCTCTTGGGAAGCAGGTTTCCCCTGGGGTTAAAAGGTGTCTAACCAACCTAATATCCAAGAAGTTCATTTTCACATGAAACAAGTCCAATGCCTTCAGCTTTCTGTTTTCCAGGCAAGTCTCAGTGCCTGCTGGCACAGAGAGCAGTGAAGTCATCGTGCAAACACAGGGTTTGGATAGACCCCCAGAGTTCTCTGACTTGTTATTATTTGTAACACAGCAGCCAGCTTCGTATATGTGATTGATCAACTGGTTTAGGGTGGATAGAAAATAGTGAAACTGCTTCTTCAAATGGTATTTCTGTATAGTCCTAAATGAACCTAAGTTCACTGCCCCAAATTGAGGGACAATGAAGGTACCCAACCAGAATTTCAGTTCTACCGGAAAATGGAGGTTGGCAGTAGAAGAGCTCTTGAGGGTAGATGAGGCAAAACCAATGACCAAACCAGGGCCCTAGTGCCCTGTTGCTTCCTCGTCTTTCTGTAAAAGGTATCAAAGGCACACCCCCCTCCCCTGCCATTACACAGTGACAGTGAACATCTTGTGTTGAGAGACAGAAAGGGAAAAGGTTCTTGTCTGTGATTGGCGGGTAGAGTAGAGGAAGGGCCAGCATCTTAAGGTGCACTTTGATTCCCTCTCTTTTTAAATCAACGTTTCCTTCCTCTTTTCCCAATCCTGCTTCCTTTTGTTCTTTTCCCAGAATTCCCGCTACCAGACCTACCAACGCATGTGGAATTACATGTATTCCAAGCAGCCCAGCGTGTTCGTGAAGAGCACAGAGGAGGGAATCGCCAGGGTGTTGAATTCCAACTACGCCTTCCTCCTGGAATCCACCATGAACGAGTACTATCGGCAGCGAAACTGCAACCTCACTCAGATTGGGGGCCTGCTGGACACCAAGGGCTATGGGATTGGCATGCCAGTCGGTATGCGGGAGAGGAACAGCCTCTTTGGGTAGCTTTGTCCAGACAGGGTCAGGGTAGATCAAACCACTGAAAGCAGCATTGAATCCAGTAACCCCTGTTGCTAGAACCAGTTTAACAGTGACTTTAGATGGGCATTCTAAAGTTGTTGTTTTTTTTTTTTTTTAAAGCAAACACACATATTTCTTTTACTCAACAACCAGTGCTCAATCCTTGATTATTAAAGAGTTAGTTGATTAGCTACTGATTGATTAACTGACTAATTTAAAGGGCTAATACTAATTATTAAAGAGCATTGATGCCTTTGGTGTGTATTTAGGCCTTTTGTTCCTCTTCTTGCTTGCTACCCCTTGGCCATTTCTCTGTTGATTGCTATCTCTACTAGCAGTGGAAAGAAGGATGAGATGGTGAAATTCAAATCAGTTAATTTTGCTATTTGTTAGCGTCACCAGTGAAAAGTTTACTTCTAAAGGGGACGGCCATGATTAGATGAAATGGCTTTTAAATTATTTGTGGATTTCACTGATCCAGCTACAGTAGGTTGGTGTGGGTCATTGAGAAGGGGCGGGAATGCTCTGGTGTTTGGCCTGCTGACTGGGTGTCACCCCGTCTCATTCTATGAATAGGAGGGTAGAGATGTTTGGCTTCCAGAAAGGTATCCTGGCTGTGCTTTTTAAAAGGACATTCACACTTTGGACTTTGAGCCTTCACCTGCTAACAGAACCTCCCCAAGAAGATGAGGAGAGGACATGTTTGGCTGCTGTGGTGATTGTGAAGGGGATCTGTATGTTTCCCCAGCCCCTTCTGACATGCACCCTTCCCCCTCCACACACCCCATAGAGAGCCCGTGCTGTAGAGGGTTGTTCTTGCATGAGGGTGTTCTTGTACAAGGCAACAGGGGAAGAAGCGGGAATCAAGGCCATCAGTCTCTGGGAGAAAATTGGCATACGGTATGCTCATCTTTGTATTTACAGTACACATCCCTGTTGTTGATCTTTACCTTAGCTCAAAACTCTGTAAATTGCAGGATTCACTCACACCTGTGGAGTGTAAAGAGCACAGGCTTGGAGTCAGGCAGACCCCGGGACGTGTTCTAGTTACTGGCTGTGGTACCTTAGATGCATTCTTTAGCCTCAGTTATCTAATTCATAAAATTAGGTTTCTAATACCTACCGTATGGGGTTGGGAGGATTAAACCTGATAATCTAGTTAGGTGCCTTACCTTAGTGTCTCACACTGAGCCTGCCTTGGGGGATATTAGTGTCCTTCTCATCTCTTCTATGGTTTCCTATGTTATTACACACACACACACACACACACATATATATATATATATATGTTTATTTATTTATTTATTTTGAGACAGAGTCTCACTCTGTCACCTAGGCTGGAGTACAGTGGCACTATCTAGGCTCACTGCAGCCTCTGCCTCCCAGTTCAAGTGATTCTCGTACCTCAGCCTCCCGAATAGCTGGGACCACAGGCGTGTGCTACCATGGCCAGCTAATTTTTGTATTTTTAGTAGAGATGGGGTTTCACCATGCTGGCCAGGCTGGTCTTGAACTCCTGACCTCAGGTGATCTGCCCACCTCAGCCTCCCAAAGTGCTGGGATTACAGGCATGAGCCACCACTATTTGACAAAAGCACATGACTTAAATTCTGATCAGAAACCAAGAAAATGAAAATAGGTAATAATATGGTTCATCCCTGAACTCTGTACATTATGGCACTAGGAGTTCTGTGAACTGTGAACTGGAGGCTTCACTCCGGGTACTTATAAACCTCCACACCCTCTATATGCCATTATATTTCACTGGTGTCCACTAATAATACAGATTATGGACCCCTTTGAGAGATATACTCACTGACATTTTGTTTCAAGATGATAGTGTGAACTGCAAAATGAACTTAAGGCACACCTTGATGATACTCTAGCAATTTAACACATTTTACCTAAATTTCAAATGCTTCCAAAGTTTTCGTGGAGCAAAACAATGGAGAGTTGGGGTAAGACAGACCACAACTCTAGAAATTTTCATCAATAACCAAGGAAAAGTGAAAGGAAATGCGTTTGCTGTATATCTGACATGACACTGTTTTCACATTTTATCTCACTTCATAGACCCCTGCAAGATGTATGTGGTTATTCCCATCCTGTAGAGGACAGAACTCAGATTCAGAGCTGACAGATTACTTGTCCAAGGTCACAGAATAGGTAGAGAAGCTGGGTTTGAGCCTAGGATGCTTGTCTCCAGTCCAGTAATTCATTTACCAGACCATGTTGCCAATGGGTCCTATCAGCTAGAAAGGACAGGATAGGTGGGAAGGTCTACTCGGAGCTAGCCCAGCTTCCCACATGAAGCTGGAAAGAACATTACACAGTTCATTGATGAGCCAGGATTTAGGTCCAGCTGGGGGTATGCCCAGGAAATACAAGCATGTATATCATTCTTAAGTGGAATGTAAGAGCCTAACTATGGAATAAGCAATGTGGTTGGACCCAGGAAAATTAAGAGAAACAAAACAAGGAACAAGATGGAAAATTAATCAGGTGGCTTAGGAACTAAGTAGGCAACCAACGAGTAAGCAGAATAGGCCTTTCATGTGGCCCCTGATGTGTTAGGAGGTTGGGTTGAACATGCCTTCAAACTGCTTGAACTGCCTTGCTGGGCTAGACCATTCTCTCTAAACCTGGAATGTTCATTAGCCTCACCACCTAACAACCTCTGTTAGACAACTCGTTCATGTGTCCATTCACTGCAGATGTGTAATAAGTACTTACTGTATTTGAAGCTCTGCTGGTGTTTGCCCAAATCACTTGCACACATTCAGTGCTGCAGGCTTGGGGTTCGGGTCCAACTATGTGTAAGATGTGTAATAAGTACTTACTCTACATGAAGCTCGTTGGTGTTTGCCCAAATCACATGCACACATCCAGTGCTACAGGCTTGGGTTTGGGTGTCCAAGCAGAGTTGTATCTATAGTAGGGAAGGTTCTACCGTGGAGCCGTGGGCTGTCACGGTTGGAAGAGATCTGGGAGATGTTCTGGTTCCTTGCCTCTTAAAGTGTGGTCCATGGCCCAGCAGCATGGACATCACCTAGGGGCTTGTTGGAAATGCAGACTCTCAGGCCCCACCCCAGGCCTACTGAATCAGATTCTGCAGTTCAGCAAAATCCCCAGGTGATTGCAATGCACGTGAAAATTTCAGAAGCACTCATCTGTTTGTTCCAAGCTCTGCCTGATCCTTCAGAGTAGCCTTTCTCCTCTGGGGCATCTGTCCACATCCAGCCTTCATAGAGTTTGGGCAAGGAAACTGGGCAGCTTAGTTGTTTTCCAGACTCTTGGCAGCTTTTTCTTAATAATCTCAGGCCTCAGCCTGTGCTGAGACATTGAGCTTTCCATGGTTTGATTTAAGCCTGTTTTTGTGATTAAACCTAAATTCTAGAACCAAAGCTCCTTGGCAAAATTGCATTAGAAAAATTAAAAAAGAATAGTACTGAACAGAAAAAAAAACCTTCTTTTGAGGAGGGAAGGAGGAGTGGGAGAAACAGGGTGATGGACAGGCCAGTGGGTTCTCGTGCGCTCAGAAGGCAGCGCTGAGGATGGGGAACACCTGGTGACCTGATTCTCCCACTCTGGTGTGGCTCTTCTCTCACTGATTGGTTACTTCTCTGGATAAACAGTTGTCAGGTGTAACGTAGTGAGAGTTACAAGTGCCTAAGAAATTGATTCACTTATTTATTTTTGAAACGGAGTCTCACATTCTGTTGCCCAGGCTGGAGTGCAGTGGTGTGATCACTGCCCCTGTCTCCCAGGTTCAAGTGATTCTTCTGTCTCAGCCTCCTGGGTAGCTGGGACTACAGGTGCACACCACCACACCCAGCTAATTCTTGTATTTTACTAGAGATGGGGTTTCACCATATTGGCCAGGTTGGTCTTGAATTCCTGGCCTCAAGTGATCCGCCCTCCCAAAGTGATCTCGGCCTCCCAAAGTGATCTCGGCCTCCCAAAGTGCTGAGAATGAGCACTTTCTCATTCTCATTCTCTGTGCTTTTTAAAAGGACATTCACACTTTGGACTTTGAGCCTTCAAAGTGGCATGAGTCACCGTGACTGGCCATGAGAAATTAATTTAAATAAAGTAGAAATTGGACACACCTAAGAGGTTTGTGTCACAGAAGCACAAACTCTGGCCTCCTGGAGGTGGATTGGATACTTTGCAGCCAGTGTCCTGGGTGTTGGTGGGCAGGTTGTTTAACCAGAATAGACCATCTTTTTAATTTAGAAAGTGGTGGTGTCCGGCTGGGGAGGTGGATGGTACGACTGCCTGGAAAGCCTTTCCTTGACCTATCTTGGGGTGTTGGGCCATGGGCTGGATGCGCCAGTCAGCATGGAGAGAAGGGAAGTAGAAAAACCTGAGAACCCTGCGTGAAGCCAGAACGCCCCACTCTTCCGGGGAAGTAGAGAGCAGTGGCCCCAGGGGCTCGCCCCATCCGCTGCATCTGTCTGTCCCCTCTCGAGGTGAAAGCAGGCAGGGTGGCCAGGAGGTGTGCCGGGAAGGGGAGCAGAGTGACCCCTAACAGGGCATTCACAACCTGTGTCCTGGGCTCTCCTGTGACCCCCGCAGGCTCGGTTTTCCGGGACGAGTTTGATCTGGCCATTCTCCAGCTGCAGGAGAACAACCGCCTGGAGATCCTGAAGCGCAAATGGTGGGAAGGAGGGAAGTGCCCCAAGGAGGAAGATCACAGAGCTAAAGGTAAGGACGTTCAGGGCCATCCTCCTCCTGCCCTAGAGGACCAAAGTAGCTTGTTTCTCATGTTCAAATTCCAGGTACACATAATGACTTCTAGGACCCATCGCGAACCGCCTTGGAAGGAACCTAGGTATAAGCTGGGCTGGCAGGGGGTCAGGTCTGTCCCAGGGTCTTGCGTATCACGGGCACCCAGTGTCCACCTGGCTTCCAAGTCCTAGAGACTCTGCCTCCATGGTGTTTCTTGAACCCAGCTGCCTCTGACCCCTAGCACCACGGCTTCTACCCTGGCCTGTGCTGCATCGTCTCACACCTGTGTAATTACAACCGCCTGGTTTTAGTTTCCCATTCTTGCGTCTCTACAATATATTCTCCACTACTAGCTAGAGTGATCCTTTTTAAAAATGCAAATTCGATGTCAGGATTCCCCTGCACAAACCTTCCAACGGTTTCCCATCCCACTGGGAATAAAATTCAGGGCCCTATATGATCTGTTCCCCTTCAACCTTCCTCTCTTCTCTCTGGTCCCCAAGCCTCCCATCTGGCTCTTCCACCCCAGGGCCTGTGCACCTGCTCCCTCCTCCTGGCCTCTCTTTGAAGAGCTCTTCACTCCTACCCTACACATGTCTCTCCATCACCTTAACCCCACCTTATTTCCCTTCTCAGACCTCATCGCTACCTGATATTATATTTCTTAGGTATTTGTTTACTTTCCACTTTCTCTACTAGAATGTAAGCTTCATGAGGGCAGGGTTGGTCATCACAGGGCTGCCCACAGAGCTGGACATGTGGATATTTTATCAAATGAATGAGCGAATGTTAAATTTGGCTAAATAGAAAGCAGTCCCTGACTAAGATGTTTGGTTAAGGAGTGTTGAGGGTGCCTGAGCACCCAGGATTTTCTGTAGGGGAACACTTACCCTAGTTTGCCCAGGATGGTATAGTCTTGTTTCTATCTGTTGTAGATCAGTTAATGCCTATTAATTATTTCTAGACAGCTTTCATTCTCAAAGTGGCCTGGTTTAGACAATAAATCATATGGTCACATACCATATCTACTACTCCATCTACTGCAGCCTTGTTAAATATGCAACAGATTTACCTGTCCATGCTCTGCCTGAGGAAGACAGCTGAGGAACAGAATGAAGGATATCATGTGCTTGTCTTTTCTGCTCAGCATGAATGATTGTCCCTAATGAGACAGCGAATGAATAACTATGTGATTCTCAGTGTCTAAACGTGGATCTCTATCTTGCAAGAAGAGGTCTCAACAATATGGATATATGGAGCAATTATTTTTTATAATTTAAAGGAAATGCTGCTCTCAGAGGAACTGAGTGAGGCCACACACTTCTTGGCTCTTCATTCCCCAAAGGCCAGATCTGACCATGGGGAAAGCAGTGGACATGAATGGACACAGGGCATGGGCAGACCTCATTTCAGTCCCGTCTCCACCGACCGCGAGTCTGTGAGTTTCAGCACATTAGTTAACAGCGCTGAGCCCTCATTCCTTTATCTGTAAAATGAGTTCAGTAAGTAACACACTGTAGGGCTGCTGTGAAGGGAGAGTGAAAAAGCACAGAGCTTGGCTCCTCCCCGGGCCCAGTGTATCATAGCTGTCACTGATCTGCATCCTAGCACTGTACTCGGCTGCTCTCTGAACTTCCGGGCTGTCTGATTCCATCAGCTGCCTGCAGGGGAGTTATTTTCAAGGGTCAGCCGGATATTCCATCAATAGGGATGTGCTGAGTGACAGTGAGGTGTCCTAGCACATCACTTCACACGCCTGGGAGTAAGAAAGCTCTGCAGACTTACCAGCAAGCATCTTAAAGTGACTTCTGGAAACAAAATTAACTTACTGGAAGCGGTCAGCACACAATTACTGACACTTGCCAAATTACAGTTAAATGCTAGGGGGTGAAGTGCGGAGATTACTTCTGCTTGTTCAGAGTAATAGAAAATGGGGGATATGCAGAAAAAAGTGTCAAGACACTTCTGTGGATTGGATAGAATGAACTAGATTTTGAAGATGCCCAGGACCTCAATAGGGCAACAGTGTAGGAGGAGGGCATTGCAGGCAGATAAGCACCTTGAAGACGGGTGTGGAGCGGAAGTCAGCGCAGTGGGCAGGGCTGTGTGCAGGGGCTGTGGGTGGTCCAGATGGAACAGAGAAGAATTCGCATTTGGGGAGTTGGATTGTGTAATCGGTTTGTACTAGGGAAGGTGTGGGTAGCAAAATGCTCCTCCACTCCCTCTCCGAAAAAAAGAGATGGATTGGAAACATGTGGCTGGACCTGGAATAGCTAAAATAAAATTGGATTATTGTCAGCATATGTTAATGTTGCTCTGTGATAACAGTGAGCTAAAGGATGGCAGGAAAGAGGGCCATCTCACCTCCGTCTGCAGGGAAACAGTAGTAGTGGTGTGCTCTGCAGCTGTCTAACGTGGAAATGGGGAGGTGAACCTGGGGCCCACAGCAGAGGACCTTCTGCTAATCGATCCTTCCTCTGATTGATAAATGAAATAGAAGAAATGTCTAGGTATCTGTCTTCCTAGAAACCCTTGATCTCCCTCTCCCCTCACCACAGTGGGTTGGGGGCCTTCTGTGACTTTGGACAGAGCCCTCAACACACTATGCTGCAATCTTGGTCTCCTCTGCTCAGTTGCTGGCACCTTAGACCCAGACTCAGTCTCATTTGCTTCTGTGGTCCTAGCCTCCCCAACAGAGCCAGGCACATAGTAGTTACCCAGTGTTTGTGGGATGTGTGATGAAAACTGCCGCTAGCTGTCGGAAGCTACCAATTGTTGTGTTCTCCTGGGTCATGCTAACGTGACTCATGAGACTGTGCTTGAAGTTACTTTCCCCAATAGCCCTCGCACCAGGAGCTGTCCGCTCACAGTCAGTTGTTCCTGCCTCTGAACAGCTGACCGAAGGCATATGGTGGTGCAGAGGTGCTGGAGAAGAGAGAGGCCTGAACGAGCAATTAGGGCACAATGAGAGGTTTGAATAGTGTCCCCAAGCTGCGAATGTGCGCATCCATCCCTTCTTCCTCAGGCTGAAGGGCTCTTCAAAAATCAACACTTCAGACATTTATTTTCTGTCTGTTGACATTTTTCCCCCCTATAGACAATAAGCAACTCAAGGACAGGGACTGTGTCTTATTAATTTTTGTGTCCTGATGCCCAGAACATCACCTGCCATCAGTGTTTGATGAAACAATGAACAATTCATTTACAATCGATAAATGAATAGGTGAATGAGCAAGCATCTCAAAGTCCTCCTGACTTTGGAGAAGGAAAAGTCTGGAAAGCCTTATCTTATGATTGTTTCCTCTGAAACGGGAGCCCAGCACCCCAAATGTTGGCATGGAAAGTATTCATGTAGCTCTCATTGCTGCCAACAAACAGCGTGGTAAACTGCTGTGTACCAGGCACTGTGCGGGGCTCTGAAATTACCAAAAGGAACACAACCTGCCCTTGCCCTTAAGAGGCTTAGAAGCTAGAGAGAGGCACAGATCGTTGCTGTAATGGTTGCAGTGTGGGAGAGTTTTAATAGTGGTATAAAGAGAATGTCTGGAAGCCCAGAAGAGGAAGTGATGAATTCTGCGGAATGGTCAGGGAAGGTTTAAGGGCACATGGCCCGGACCTGGAAGCATCCCGTAGGAATGGCTGCTTTAGGACTGCTGTGAGGCACAGGTGTTATGCTGAGAACTCGGTCTGAAAAGGTAGGATGAGGTTGGACTTAAGAGAGAGTTGAAAACTGGGTAAAGGTATTTGGACTGCAACCAGTCTGTCTCACGCATTTTCACAGGAGGAACCAAAAGCAGAGGAGACCAAATGGGAACTGCTGGGGATCTAGGACATTGTCTAAAGCAGCCTACTTGTTCGGAATTTCCTGAAAATCTTCTGTTTTGTCCTAAAAATACGTGTGAATTTTGCATCTTACTCTGTAATATAGGCATGTTTATTTAATGTAAGAATGTTTTTTCCCACCCAAGCCGTAAGTAAAATCAGTGTCCCAGGAAGATGTCCTAACAGCATGCCACAGCTTTGCCAGACTCCTTGGCACAGCAACAGTGCCCTGGACTGGGTTTGGGAGAATTGGCAGTAGCCATCAAAGGTTCTGGGGTGAGATGTGGCACACGGAAAGCAGGTGTGGTGGGACGGAATTCTGAGCTCTTGGTGGCATTCATGGTCCCAGGGGATAGTTATTGCCTCGGGAGAAACCAAGTCAAATTACTGGCTTTAAGTTCCAAAATAAGTTCTTAAAGCTCACAGCAGACATAATGTCCTTGGAGAGCGAGGTTTTTGATTTGCTAGAGAAGTATTTTGGAATACAGAAGGTTAATTCCTAATAGAATCTGGGCAAAAAGTTGATGCTAGAAGTAGGAGTAAAAAAAAAAAAAAAAAAAATTAGAAATAGAAAAACCAGGCCACCAACTCTGCAAATCAGATAAAAGGATGCCCTGGCCAGGACAGGAGCTTCTGAGCAGGAAGTGACGTGTAAAAATGTGCTTGGTCCTTGCCCTCCTGGGAGCCGGCAAGTGGCAGATAGCACTCCCAGAATTAGCTGGGTATTCCAAGCGTTCTAAAGAGATTTTTACTTGTGCAGGGGCTGTGGGTGTACATGTGGAGCAGAGAAGAATTCGCATCTGGGGAGTTTGGCTGTGTAATGAGTTTGTACTGTGGCATGACGCATATTTCTGGAGTTTAGCAAACCCCAGAAATATGTGCCATGCCTCAGTGAAGTGGGGGACGTAAGAGGTGGCACATAGGGACCCACAGCAGAGGGCCCAGTGAAAGGCCTGAGTTTTCCTTAACTCCAGACAAAGATATTGGAAATCTAAGTGGACTACAGCATAAGACCAGACACCTATCCCCACCCCAATACAATGACACAACCACAAACCTGAAATACATCCCGGAAAGAAGGGGGAATGGAGAAGACACTGGATTTAAGCGAATTTAAACATGAAATGACTGAAAAGTCTCTTATGTTTTTGCCC